TTATTATTATTATTATTATTATTATTATTATTATTATTATTATTATTATTATTATTATTATTATTATTATTATTATTATTATTATTATTATTATAGTAGTAGTAGTAGTAATAGCCTAATGGGTATTATAGTAGGACTCTAAGTATAGTTAACTTAGGACTCTACAATTCTTTCCCTATATAAATAACATGTATTCAACAATTTTAATCATTAATACAATCCTTAATTTCTAGTCCTAGACGTGAGATTTCTACAAATACAAATATATTTTTACCAACTCATGAAAGAATAACACTTTATAAAAATAGAGAAAAAGGTAATCTATTACTGTATACTACTTTTCTTAAATTTTGTTATATACTATTCATAATATTTTGTACGATAATGAGATAAATAAAAGTATATAAGCACGACAATATATAAGCATATAACCAGGAATCTAGGATCGTTGTCTATTCATCATGAATTTTTTGAAATAAATAAGAAAAACATTAAATCAGTGAGCCATGGTTCCATTGTATTTATGTTCATAAATTTTCAATTGTCACAATGAATACTTAGATTTATCTGTCTACGTACCCTACAAACAAGCGAATCCATAATTTTGAATTTTTTTTTAAGAATATAAAATTTTAATCAAAACTGTTGAATTTTATCGATCGCGGTATAGTTAGTGCATACACCGCTGCTGAAATTGATAGGCAAGTATTTTTGGGACTCTATAATATAAGCTGATGCATTTATAAAGTTGATAACGTGTTGTCTCTTCACAAAAGCTTATTTGTACGTACTGATTAGATGTAAAACTTTTGGTTATAAATTTTCAAAAGAATTTCCCCAAAATTTAAAAAATATAAAAGAACACATAACTTAAGGATTTTTTTAGTAGAAAAGAATAGGTAATTAAATTTATACACCAATAACATAAATATAGATTCAAAAAATGTGAAATTAGTTATCGTACTTCATTTCTCAAAAGTAACTTTATGTAAACATTTATATATGATGGTGTAACATTTAACTATAATATTATGGATGAAAATATATAAAAAATATTTTATGTCTTGATCATGTGTCGTATTGTTAGACCTCTTTATAATTAATAATTCATTTTTCATAATAATAATAGTAAAATATTCTTTGGAATTGATTTTGTGTTATATAGTGCATTATTTATTATTTATAATAACATTTTGTTATAGTAGTCAAAATATAGTTGGACGAACGATATTGTTTTAGGAAAATTTGATTGTATTTCAGTTGTGGGGTTCAAATATCACGCGGATTAGTCTAATCAGGCCATCTCCAACCTTAAACTTTATTTTACTCTTCAAATATAAGGTTTTCTATTTTTCTAGACAATCAACTCCAATCTAATTCTCTATTTTACTCTCTAAAAAGGAATTTTTTTCTTTCTCCTCAATATTATATTATTATTTCTATTTCATTCTTATTTTCTTATTTCATAATATAAATCATTCTTTTCTTTTTCCCAAATAATTACTTTATATAATTTTCATGTGATATAAAATTTTATTTTTTCAAATTTTTTATTTAATATAAAATTATATTTTATTTTAAATTTCCATAAATGCTCTATTAATGCATTACGGAGTTCAAAATGAGCATTTTTGTCCTTAATTTTATTATGTCTAGCTAAAAATTGTTCAAACCGGAGATTTCCATCTACCATCATACCCTAATTTTTTTCCGAATAGTGCTAAATTGTGAAACGACCTATCGGATTACAAAATGATTGTTGTGATAAATTAATTATTATGTTATGTATTGTATTGTGTTTTATCTTGTATTTAAATTATTAAGTTATGTATTGTATTTTTAATTAAAATTTTCATCTTATCATTTTAATTTTGTGCATTCTTTATAGTGAAAATTAATAATAAAATAAAATTATATTATTGACGAAAATTAGAAATAAAATAAAAATATTTTAATTTGGGATAAAGTAGTATATATAAAATAATATTTAAAGTAGTATATATTAAATAATATTTTTTAAAATATTATATTACATTTAAAAAGAATTATGAATATTAGATATTTAATTAATGACATTATATGCAAAATAATATGTTAATTAGAAAACAATAGAAAATAATAATAAAATATTGAAAAAGTGAAATAGAGAGTGTAAATAGTAGTTCTTCCAATTTGGAGAACTACTATTCAACTCTCTAAAAATGAAGAATAGAATCTAAAATAAAGATGGATTGGAGTGCTCATTCTCTATTTTACCTTCCAAATATAGAGAATGGAAAGTAAAATAGAGGTGAGTTGGAGATGGTCTCACATTTCCTAATCACATAGTTACCAAAGCTATTATACATTTTATTTAATTTTAAACGGAATTAGAGTCAGATCTCTTAATAATTTCGTTTGTTCTTATATTTATTTGATTTTTATAGTAATTAGTTGTTATATATCTATGATAGCATCTATTTTTTAAATATTATTTTGACTATTATAAGCAAAATTTATCCAAAGGATTAATTTTTTATTCCTTAATGTTAAAAGAAGATTAATTTAAAATCTCAAAAGATATTACTTAAATTTCAGAGAAAGCCAATAAATAAGCAGACACTTTATCAAAGATCTCCGTGACTTTATTATTATCAGGAAAAAAAGTTATATATATGAACAGCTTTAGAAACAGTAATTTATCATCTTTATATCTACCTGAGACAGTGAGAAATAGTGATATTTTTGTCTATATAAATTATTTAAAACCATCAGTTGGAATCTTGATTCAATAACATTTCTTTGGAGTCAAAAATCTATCTGAAATAATATTTATACCATATAAAGGTAGAGGTAAGGCTATGTATATTTCCTACTTTCTCGTATCATCCTACTGATAGAATTACACGAAATATGCTATTGTTGTTAAAAATAAATTTGAAGTTAATGTATTTTCTCCTATCTTTTTTTTTCTATGCAAAAAGGTTCAAATATATTCATGAACTATGTGAAGTGACATGTATGTCCTTTTTCGATTAAAATCGGGTAATTTGTGATGCTAGTTATATTTTCTTACTAGTAAAAGGTTAAAGTAGGCCAATTTTACCGCAATTATTAACGGAAGGCAAAAGAAAAGAAGAGAATTTGACTGCCCTTAACCAACGGTTATACATATTATTCGTTAAATTAGACAAGATCGATTTTACCTAATACTATAGTTCAGAAGCAAATTTAAACCTTAATCGATTAGTATATTAAATGATCCTGGCGGCTGAGACCAACTTAGCAAGTCCAGTAATATATGAAATATAAAACATGTAAACATAAAAATCTTGTTTCCAATAAACCTGACATTTTGGACCTTCAATTCTGGAGAAAGAGTCTTAAAGTCTACCTTACTCATCACAAATTATGGAACAAAGTCTTATATATAGGCCCTAATGTATAGTATATACTATTTACAATATTCCACTTATATATCATGAAAGTGACAGCCAATTTTTTTTTTTTATACTTCTAACTTCATCATCTGATAATTCATACCATATCCAACTTTCCACTAACCTATAGCTAGTCAAAATAAAGATCATGTTAAAGAATATTTCACAGTATAGTCTGACACCAATAATTGTTATTGTTTATCTTTTTGGGGTTTTCCCTCATATATTTATATTGAGATTCTATTTAATTCAAATCCACGCTGGAATTCTCACAATGAGAATTAAATGCTCTCTAACAAATCAATATCATACACATGATCTTGTCAAGTGCCCTAGTTGTGAATGCACTACATCAAAAATAATTTTTAGTGGCAATAAATATACACATTAGTAAAGAGTGATAAAGTCTTTACGGACATTAGTTAAGTGTCATTAGATCCAATCTCGCTAAAGACTTTAGGGACATATACAAAGAGTGTTAATTGCCACTAAAAATACGTATTTATCGGCAATTAAGTTATTGCAGTTAATTGCCACTAAAAATAATTTTTTATGTAGTGATGTTCTTGCGGGAAAGACTATGCTAGAATGTATATGATTGATGGCTTGGCAGTACATATTGATCGATACACCTATAAAAACTATGCATGCCAATTGATTAGGTGATTTTGGATTAGCTACTAAAATTTTGAGTTGTTTTACTCTATTTTGTTGTTGGTAATGACCTTGGTGAATGACTAGCCATGAATTTCGTCAAATGCTAAAATTGTTGAGAATATCATTAACTAATAAAAAGTATACTCTCTCTAATAACTTAACCTTTTAAATGAAATGATCACACACTTCAACATGATATCAGAGCAGACAGAGATCTTGAGATCGAATCTCACAACCACCCAAACTAAAAAGTGTGCTCTCTCTAACCAATAAACGATTAGGCCAAAGTGGTTGGTGAAGTCGTAATTTCTTTCTCTTCTTGCTATCTATCGTGAAGTTTGACTTCACTTGCTTATCGATGATTCGAATTTAACATATTGTTTAGACTTTTTATGTGCATTTTTTACTTGCAAAAAATTATTTATCAATTACAAATAGTTATCTCTTCACACATAGTCTTCTCGTGTGTATTCATTTTTAAAAAAATGTTTTCCTAATTCGTCAAATAATTATAAACTTAAAGTTCAAAAACATTTGACCACTTAAATAGTTAAATTGTGATACACATGTATGTATATTACTTTTCAAGGTTAATTACTAGAATATGCAAATTATACAGCTAGAAAAATGTGATTAGTGAGTCACTGTCCTTTTAATGAAGATTATAATGGAGATTATATTTTGAAAGATTGTGGGGGCCGGGATAATGTTGACAAAAATGCCATCAATAAATGTATCTTAGTAAGAAAATAATGTATAGTTAATGGTAATGAAAACGAAATTGTTTGGTTCAAAAAATAAAACATACGTACGAAGAAAAGAGAAGCACATAAAGCAACTTTCATGTGGCCCATTTCTTGTCAAATCAATAGGTCCTTTGATGTGATTTTATCTTACAATACATTTTCTTCTATTCTTTTAACCTTTGTATAATCTTTTCAATAGTTGCCTCATTTTTGGCTACAAAAATCGATCAATCACAATCCATTTCAAGAATTCCACTTGAAAAAAAAAATATGTCAAATTTTGATAGAGGCAAAGAATTGGTTGAGGGATCATCAAGATCCCCGGGCGATCAACCTGCTACGCCTAGTCGATATGAGTCTCAGAAACGTCGTGATTGGAACACGTTTGGTCAGTACCTAAGGAATCAAAGACCACCCGTTTCCATGTCCCAATGCAATAGCAACCACGTGTTGGAGTTCCTTAGGTACCTTGACCAGTTTGGGAAGACTAAGGTTCACTTGCAAGGTTGTATCTTTTATGGTCAACCCGAGCCTCCGGCTCCCTGTACTTGTCCATTAAGACAAGCCTGGGGGAGCCTGGATGCTCTGATCGGGCGGCTCAGAGCCGCCTATGAAGAAAACGGTGGCTCCCCAGAGACGAACCCTTTCGCAAGCGGCGCGATTAGGGTGTATCTAAGGGAAGTGAAAGAGTGTCAAGCAAAAGCAAGAGGAATTCCGTACAAAAAGAAAAAGAAGAAGGCTAGTGAGAGCAAAGGAGATGATGATTGCACTTCTTCTCACCCATTTTCTTGATCCAAAAAATGGTAAATTTCTAGCTTTTCTTTAGTATTTGATTGTTTAGTTAATATCTGAAAAAGGGTATTTATTTATTTATTAAACCATATAATAAAATATATGCAAAGTTATATGATTAGGCTAATATAATTACCTCTAGAGACCAAATATAATGGGATAAAGAGGAATCTTTACATATAGATCCAAACTTGAAAAATATAGCAAAACAAAGCTAGTTGGATATTCTAGATTAATATAACTACTAGTATATGATAGATGAATCATGAAACAATATCATAATTCTATCTTTATATAATTCATTAAAGATGAACTTTAACTATATGTTGAACACTAGATTTCAGTGATCTAATTGGGAACTTAAACAGTTTAGCTTGGGTTGATTTCTTATATGCTCACTCGACTAATAGTTGGTTATTATCTCAGAAAGTCAATTTTCTTCAATGAAACAGACTTTCTGAGAAAATAACTATTAGTTGAATAATAATCATCTGAGAAATCAACTTGTTTGAACTTCTAGACCGTGCTGGGAGAAAGAAGCAAATTGCGTTCTCTTAAATCTTAGCTCCTGAATTTCAATCGATCATGAATTAAAGTACAAAAATATTTAGCTAACCAATATCATTCACCTCAAACCCTAGAAGTGATGGATGAATATGCAAAATTATGATCATTTTCCTTACCTAAAAGTCTTGATTAATGCCACAATGTTAAAAGTACTAAACACTTGCACTTCAAAGTCTTTGTAGAACTGGTCAAGTTATTGTTATGTGATCCTGAATATCACAGATTTGAACCGTAGAATAGTCTCTTACAAAAATGTACTTAGGGGAAGGCTACAAACAATAGACCCTAATTGGTCCGGCCCTTCCCTGAATCCCGCACATAGAAATATATTCCCATAACATTCACCAAATACTTAAACCACATGTATTATACCTTCATGAAAACTATTAAGTCTTAATTCAAGTATTTGGCAACTATTCCTGATTTATAATATGTCAGCCTTAAATTTTTTGTTTATATTCTTTTGGGATTCTGGAGATTTTGTGCACCCCACATGTAGCTAGCGTTTGGCCATATATTTCTAAATATATTTGGCAAATATTATTTGGGTGAAAATTTGAGTAAAATTTCACCATGTGTTTGGCCATAGTATTTGGGAAACATATTTGACTTTTTAAGAAAAATGTGATTTATACCCATAAGTTTTAAAAACTATCAAAACTAACATTAAGTTTGTATTAGAAGTCAATAGATCTTCGTTGCAACAAATAACTAGTGTCCATGACATTGGAGCAATGTGGTAGTTTGGAGTGAGTGCAACAAGCATCATTCCATACATCGTGAAGTAGATAAAACACATGACTTTGTTACCCTGGCCAATTGTTCATCATTTTATCAACAACCATATCGTCACTTTCATATTTCATAACTACTTTGGTGTTCACGTAAAAAATTATGTAATACAACGCAAATAACTACTATAGAGGGTGTTTTTGTAAAATATAAAAGTTTGGTGTAAAATTTTAATTTTAAAGATCCCAAATAATGAGATTTGGTCCAAATACTAGAAAAAACTAGTATTTGGAAATTTGGGATATTTGCCAATTTTTTTTGTCAAATAATGACAAATTGTATAAACAAACACTATTTATCAATTTTTTTCCCAAATATTATTTGGGAAATCTATGGCCAAACGGGCCCATAGTCATTTGAGGTAACATAGGCTTTTTACATTTTTAATATAACAAGCATCTTAGAATTGACATTTTTTATTAGTAAAATTTATGTCCTATTCCACCTGAATCAATCAATCTATAGTAATTTACTCCACCATGCAATGCTCCCTCTCTTTATTTTTTTTAAAATAATTTATGGAAAAAGTGCGTTTTATAATGGATTTTTAAATCAACAGAATCATAATTGCAAATCTTTCTTATGTACGAGAAATCATAATATATAGTATATATTGATATTTCTTCAATTTCACGGTAACACTAAAATATTAAATTTCCTATTAGTGCGCATTGATAGATATAGGGAACGGATCTAGTCTAGTGGTATAGATATGCGTTCGTCTGAATCCATAACTTCTAGTCTAAATCTAAATTTATCCATATAAAATGTACTAGAATTATTGAAAATATTGAACTATGAATCCATAACGTAAATTAGGTAACGTTATCGCGATTCCACTTCTATCTATATAAATCACCTTATTATTGCAAGGGTAATTTTGATATTTGAATGTTCAATATTGTTGTTTATTCGTCCTTTGTATCTTTACAAGATTGCTTACTGTCTGTATTAGATCTTTGTGGGGGCATCACACTTATTCTTTATTTGTCAGAATGCTCTATATATATATATTTTTCATAAAAACAAATAATTATGTACTATAGTCTGTATGACATATTCCTATTTCCTCCATTATCGAAGTTGTTGGTTTCTAGCAGCATTTTTGTCTTCTATTTGCTTCATATAAATGTTCATATCATTCAACTTATATATATATTAATTTGTTCAAAAAAACATATTTTTTATCTACTTGATTATAGTATCAATGTTGATTTTATGTGTTTGCTTCTAGTTTTAAAGATATGAATGACTAGTGTGGATATATGTGTTATGTTAGCGTCCACGGTTTTAAGCTCATGGCTTCCTAGATTTTCTTCTAGACTATAGCAAGTAAAATGGCCTAGCAAATGAAAACTTATAGTGTAAAATCAAGATGAATTTAATTATATCATGTCAAGTAGGCTTTAACATATATAAATGGCAATATATTGGTAGAATTCTCAAGTTATTAGCTAAAGATGATTGAAAAGGTTAGAACATTATTTGATACTAAAGTTATCTAATGGTAAGAAACCTAACAATTCACCCTTATACTGCTTCTATCCCTCTGTGATGCCTCTGTCGGATAAGGGATTAAGCAGGACTGACACATTTCTAGGCTGACAAGCTTCTGAAGATGAGGTGCATATAATACCCTAGTTGAATATATTCTACATTGGAATGAGAGAGGAAAAGAAAGAACTTAATATATAAGATATAGTTTAAGTTCACATGCTATACAAATATTTTTAGGGCTCAATATAATGTATCCCTAAAAATAAATTAATAAGGGCCTAGGTCCAAATTATCTCACTTGGGAATCTGGAATTTCTGGATTTGATCCTTTGCGATGTATCAATATATGACCAATCTCTCTATCATTAATTAACATCCTTTTGCTAGCTTCTTTTCTTTAATCACTCAAACAATACATGCCATGAATTTGGATCATAATAAATTTGGTATCAGAGCATGTACTCCCTTAATACAATGGTGGAACAAATTTTTGCAAGGACCTTGAGTCTCTAAGGAGAGGTGTATGTGACACTCTGGACAGAGGGCGGGTCAAGCAGGATTAAGAGATTTTTAGGTTGGCAAATTAGTAACTATTAGGTGTACATGACAGCTTAAGTGAATACTACATTGAAATATGAGAGGAGGAAAATGTAGAGTTTTATAAGGCGCAGTTCAAATTTACATGATACACACTTTCAAGACTAGCGTAGACCACAAGACAAGTTTGTATGGACCTAGACCCAAATAATAATATGCATCATAGACTTGTGACACTCTAAGTCTAATATTCCGATTCTTTTCCATCCCTTTAATTCAACTTATGCTTTCTTTACAAAGAGTTTTAGATATATACATCAAAGAAATTAACATAATATCTAGTGAAATTTGTAATTTTTAAAAATAAGACTGATTATCTGCTCTAATAGGTAACCCCATAGTGTAAAAATTCTTTATATTGACAGTATTCATTTATGTAACTTACACTTTTTGTACTTATGGTGTGTAAATCTTAAACTTGATTTCTGATGAAGTTTAAGTTATATGTACATTGTTAGTAAAATATCCTATAGAAGATCCGACAGTATAGAACATTTTCTATCATGACTACAATAATGACATATTCAGTGTATTCTTATAAGCAGGATCTATGGAAGATAGTAGACGATACACAAACCTATGAGGTATAAAGACCGTTTACAATAGACCCTAGCTCGATTCAAAAGATGTATATGTAACTGAATTAACTCTTATAAAGTATAGACTTAGATAGACGTTCATGCTCTAGTATATATTCTGATTAATTTCACTAGAAATTAAAATATATCTAACAATGAATACATGTATACATTATTCTTTTTCTTGTTTTTTCTTTTGCAGAAAAGTGATGAATTGTGTCTTCATGAGCAGGTTATTGCTGAACACTTAAAGGGATTTGCTATATATATATATAGCTCTGGAAGAATTATGTCTCATATTTATCAAGTCACCATTTGGTTTTTTATTTTATATATATATAAGTGCCTTGATTTCCTTTTTTTCTGCTAATTAATTAATTAGCAGTCATGTTCAATCATAGGCCTTTTCTTTAAATTACTTTTTAGTAATTAAGTATTCTACTGTTTTTTCCCTTATATTTCTCAGTTGTTTGTGAATCCTAAATTAGTTCTTGTAAGATGATTATTATAAACTCTTTTGTACAATTAAGTGATCATTAATTTGAATCCAAACCCTACTGTACGTATATTACGTTGTTTGTGCTCCTTTAATTTGTACTCTCGCCGTCACAACTTATCTGATGTACTTTGATCAAAGGAATAAATATTTTTAAAAATTATGATCTAAAATAAGTCATAGAAATATTCGTGTGATTATATTTAGATCATCTCATGAAAAAATAAAGTTTAAAGCTAAATCATTTCTATATATAAAACAAAAAGTATCATTCTCTTTTTTTAACAGACTAAAAATAAAAGTGCATGACATATATATTGAAAAACATTCTCACCTGCAAATGGTATTAGTTCTCTAATAAAAAATTAATTAAGTGTATACCACCAAAATAATGTTATGGTCATGTTTAATTAATCACTAATGTAAAACGGATTCATTTTTTAAATTTGATTTGGAGAAAAAGAAAGAAGAAGAAAAAAGGTTCTTTTTATATTAATCCGTTATAGAAAATTTGCAGGGTATATATACCTTCATTGTTAACATTACTGAAGTCATATTTATCTCTGCCTGTAACAATCTATTCCCGTCGTTATAGAAAAGTCAATGGGGAAAGAATTGGGGTCAGAATTTTTTTTGGTAGTAACTTGGAATTTTCTAATCTAGTCCAGATTTGGATGAAATCGGAGTCAGTAAAGTCTAGGGAAATCTAGTAACAACTGGGTGATTTAATTATGATTTTGATTACTGTTGACATCCAATTTTGGACCTCCATGATTTAGATTAATCACCGAGCTTCTTAATTCCAAATGATTTGAAATAATTAGTTTTGAGGGATAAGGATTTGAAAAATATCCCAACTTTGGTTGAATTTGCTGTTGCGAAACTAAACTTTCATGAGGACCTATTACCTCCCTAGTACTATTTAATACCGTATTTTAAACATATATATTTGCTCACGTGGACATAAAAAATAATGCAAAATTATAAATAGTAATGTGTCCACGTGGGCACATATATACCTTTAAAATACATTATTAAATAGTTCAGGGGTAAAAAATACGATATTAAATAGTCTAGGGAGACAATAGGTCCTCATGAAAGTTTAGTATCGCAACAGCAAATCCGACCAAAGTTGGGATATTTTCCAGACCCTTATCCCTAGTTTTTATAAAGCTCAAAATATTTTTCTAGTTACTTTTAATTAAATCTACCATTTTTTTAATGATTTTTAAGTAATATATATGTTTTATATAGTTTTGTATATAATTAGTATATTTTATAAACATTTCGAAATCATCTCAAAAAGATTTTAATTTTAGTAAGTAGTTTATTAAATTAGTTTAGTTTAAATTATGGTTATAATTTTGAATCATTAATTTACAATTAAGTTAATTATTTTATTTCATTGAGATTAAGAAACTCGTTAATTAATTAATATTGATTCATCTTATTTAGGCTTTAGCCAAATTTGTTAAGTAACTCAATTTGGTTAGCTTCTTAATTTTGTTTGGTTAAAATGTTAATTCATTAGGCTATTTCTTAATTGTGAATTTAACCACTTTCTTCTTGAACCTTTGGGCCAGAATCTATCCAATTCCTTGGCCCATTAGCAACATTTTGCAGCAGCCCAGCCCACAACCATTCCAAATAACCCCCAAATAGACCCAACAATACACATATGCGTACAATACAAACATACATTACAACGATACCAATACGACGCGACCCCACGCGTCTTCTTCTTCAAACGACCCATAAATCATGACTCAATCCAGTCCAGAATCGCGAGTTCAGTAACAAAATCAAGCTTAGTCCGGCAATCGCTCGTGGCACTCTCCTCTCTCCTTTATCTTCTCGTATGAGGAACATTCGAGAACAACGCCATGTGTCTCAATCTTGATGCCTCGTCGTCCTTGCCCTAAATCAGAGGGCTCTCGTCCTCAATCTGTTGGAAATAGTACGATAGTAGCTGTCCAAACCTTATCCTTGGAGAATTTTTGAATTTTGGATTCCCCCACATCGATCTAGACCCCTTTTACTTCCCTTTTTTCCTTTATAAATAAGCTTCTCTTTACTGTTCATAAGGGACGGTTTTTTGAGAGCTGAAGAATTGAGAGCACCCCCGGAAAGGTTTTGAGAGCTCTTAGTTCGTAGTTTAAGATTTTATTTGCTCTCGACTGTCCCAGTCACATTTTGGTGGTAATGTTCATTGCCTCCAAAGCTCGAGTTCCAGTCGCTGCCCAGAACCAGTCCGATTTGGACTCCCATTCTCTTGCATTTGATCCTCTTCGGGTCAACCTCCATGAAGTCACGATAGAGTAAATAATATTCTATTGGGTTAGAACCCAAAAACCAGCAGCAACAACAGCTCAAAAGAGCTGAAATGAAAATGTTTTACCGTTCAAATTGGCCGAAATTTGAACAGCTGAAATGAGACAGAATTGCAGCAGTTTCGAAGGGCTGAAAATGACTTTTTTTTGGACTTAAAAATTCTGAAAATAGCGCCATAAGCAGCAAATAACAAGCCGCAAGTGAACTCAAAGTTGACAAATTTCTATTCGCAAATGGGGCAGAATTTTATAGATTCACTCAAAAAATTCAACTGAAAACTACAGAAAGTTCAAGGTTTATGATTATATTTTAAGCTGGGGCAGAATTTTCGAGGAGAGTCCTCAAAAATTCCATCAAGCGACATTTCGAGATCTGACAAGCTTGTAAACCAGAAGTTAAAGAAGCATCAGTACGGTAAGGCAAAGCCAACATGAATCAGTCTCTCAAAACTAAGAATTTTTCTTTGGACGCAGGAATTACGAAGTTACAAGGCATCTTTAGATCCATATTGCCCTCATCATAACTCAGATGATTTCTACTCTTTCTCCTCTTTTAAAGAATTTTCCTTTCAATTTATTGTGACTTACACATTCTCAATTCTACAGATGGAATATCTTGGCACAATGATGAAGACCATAAGACGTTATCCAGACCAATATAAGCTGAACAACTTTATTTAAAAGCTTATCTTTTACTTTTGTAATTTTATTTTGTTACTAATTACATCTGAACTCTGCAGGTGTCGCTAGAATTGGAGTCGGAATTCCAAAAGGTATTTTCAATCTTGGAAGGATCAGTCCAAACGTTCACCAGAAGAGGGACATGAACCAATACTTTTCAAAGATGTTATTATGAAGGATTCTCGGCACCAAGGGTCCAATCCAATAAGCTTACTCTTATCCTCTATTTTACATTGACAAATTTTGTCCTCTTTTATTTCTATTCTATTGTTGTGTGTTGGCAAATCTTTCGTTCTCTTTAAATTCTATTAAGTTTCAAGTTCGAACTACGTCAAACCTGATTTCTTGTTCCAACAAGATACGTAGGCAATCCTATATAAGGATTCAGTCTTCTAACTATTTTAAACTACAGACCCTAGAGGAAATCAAGACATGTTTTTGAATAAGTCATTTTCGTTTCTTGCAAATTATTCAGTTAAGTACTCTTGGACTGGAAACAGGGGCAACTTTTTGAAATAGATCAAAGTTCTCAAAATCTATGTTTAACTTCATGTTTCAAAGATATTCTGTGTCAAGCGAGTTTTCTCTTTGCAAGAGATCTTTTTAAAGTAGGGATCCACCTCATGTGAAATCCCTAATCGGACTTTAGCGCCTCATTTCAACGTTATAAGTCCTCAAAATCGTTCTTCCAAATTCTTTCGTTCTTCATGGCTGCCAGATCGTCTTGACGCGTTTAAAAGTCTTGACATTTGTTAATCTCTCTGTTTTTCACTAACAATTTTTTTGTGAGCACAAGGTCGACTAAGTTTTAATAACAACTAGAGATGTTATCGACTTCACAAACTACTAGAAGCTAATTAAATTACCATGTTATAACCATACTCCATATTTTGAGATTTGTTCTTTATCATAGGGTATTATTGTTGGAGCGTCACTTCCTTCAACGTGAAACGTTATATTATTGGAGCGTCACTTCCTTCAACATGGCAAGTTAAATTATTATTGGAGCGTCACTTCCTTCAACGTGACACGTTAAATTATTATTGGAGGGTCACTTCCTTCAACGTGACACGTTAAATTATTATTGGAGCATCACTTCCTTCAATGTGACACGTTATATTATTGGTGCGTCACTTCCTTCAACGTGACACGTTATATTATTGGAGCGTCACTTCCTTCAACATGGCAAGTTAAATTATTATTGGAGCGTCACTTCCTTCAACGTGACACGTTAAACTATTGTTGGAGCATCGCTTCCTTCAACGTGATATGTTAAATTACTATTTGAGAGTCACTTCCTTCAACGTGACACGTTATATTGTTTGAGCGACACTTCCTTCAACGTGACACATTAAACTTTTATTGGAGAGTCACTTCCTTCAACGTGACACGTTATATTATTGGAGCGTCACTTCCTTCAACGCGACACGTTAAATTACTATTTGAGAGTCACTTCCTTCAATGTGACATGTTATTTTATTGGAGTGTCACTTCCTTCAACGTGACACGTTAAATTTTTATTGGAGAGCTACTTCCTTCAACGTGACACATTATATTATTGTAGCATCACTTTTCTCAACGTGACACATTAAACTATTATTAGAACGTCACTTCCTTCAATGTGACACGTTAAATTGTTATTGAAGTGTCACTTCCTTCAACGTGATACGTTAAATTATTATTGGAGCATCACTTCCTTCAACGTGACACGTTAAATTATTATTGGAGTGTCACTTCCTTCAACGTGCCACGTTAAATTATTATTGAAGTGTTACCTTTCTGAATGTGACACGTTATATTATATTGAACCGTCATTGTCCTCAAAGTGACACGTTATTATTATATTGGGTTGTCACCTCCCTGAATGTAACACGTTATATTACATTGCGTATTCATTTCCCTCAAAGTGACGCATTATTATTATATTGGGACATTACTGGCCTTAAACACAAGGTTATATTATATTGGGACATTACCTCCATTAAAAGTGACACGTTGGGACGTCACATCCCTAAAAAGTGACACGTTGAGACGTCACCTCCCTAAAAAGTGACACGTT